GGCCTCAGCATGGCTGGAGAAGCGGCGCGTCAGCGTGCGCCCGGGATCCGAACCCAGGCCGCCAGCAGCGGAGCGCGAGCACTTAACCGCTAAGCCATGGGGCTGACCCCATTTTGGGTTATTTTTATAGAACATGTTTTGAGAAAAGGAATTCCAAAGGTAGTGAAAAATCTGCAGGTCCTTAATACATAATGCTTCATTGTCTCCCAGAAGCAATACCTGCAAAATCAGGTTTTCTGGGGTCTGCTAACTTAGGGGGGGAAAAGTCTCATTTTATGTTCCTATTTTTTAACTACTGGTCAGTGTATATTTTTTCTCACGTCTATTCAGCATTTGTGTTTTTTCTGTGGACTGACAAATCACATGGGGGTATATTTTTCCATTGTACTTTTCTGTACCAAATTTGATGAACCTTTTGTGTGTTTGTGGCTGAAATTTTCCTAGTCTGGCTGTTTGCCTTTAACGATTTCCCACTCACAGGATTATAATGGAGTTTACTAAATTGATTTTTTTTCTTTTCTCTATCCTACATTCCTAGTTTCCCCAACAAATCAGATCCAAGCGCTTTTCTCCTTCTGACCACCACTCCACAGTCACACTTTTGACTGCCCATTTAGCGAATTTTCAAGTCTATACCAGATTTTTTTTGGGGGGAGGGGGGAGATTGTCCCTGAGCTAAGGTCTGTTCCAATCTTCCTCTATTTTGTATGTGGGACGCCGCCACAGCAAGGCTTGATAAGCGGTGCATAGGTCCGCGCCCAGGATCTGAACCCCAGAACCCCCGGCCACCACAGCAGAGTGCGCGACCTTACCCACTATGCCACGAGGCCGGACCCCATGCCAGATTTAAAAAAAACCTCACAAAACCGAGAAGCAATACCTCGGAATATTTTGCACTTGTATAGAATAACACATTTTTTTAAAATTTAAAAATTACGTAGTGCTAAATTACAGTGATCTTTTTTTGAACTGCGTGATTGTTTTCAAAATAAAAAAAGATTGCTCCTCCCCCAAACTTTTTCTTCCCGGAGAAAAGCTAACAAAGGTCCTGGGGCCATGGCTCTGGGTCTCCTCGCACACCTCTACAATGACGCAAGCAGAGCTTCCCCGCCTCCGGATGCCCGCGCCAGGGGCAGCCTGGGGGCCGCGGACTCGAGGCGGGCACCGAGGCTGCGCCGGGCGGTCCACGCAGGGTGGGCGCACGCAGGAGAGCCAGGTAGGGCGAGGGCACGCGAGCCAGGCGCGGGGCAGGTCCACGCGCGGCGGCGCGCGCAGAACGGCTGCCCGCCGGGAGGCGCACGCGCAGAAGGCCCACGAAGCCTCTTCAGTCCCGCCCCCACCCCGCGTGGGCGTGGCGCCGCGGAGTGAGCGTTAGCTGCTCAGGTCCTAGCAGCTTACGAAAAAGACTTTTAAAGTGGACTCTCCAAATAATAAACTTGTTTCCCACTCGCCCAGGAGTCATTTATGGGGGAAGTGCCAAGCCCTGTAAGATTTCAGGGTGGGAGGACGCGGGCTGGCCGGCGGGCGGGAGAGCGAAGCGCACCGCTCCCAGGACCTTGGTTCGAGTACACCGCTGCCAGGACCCTGCGTGGGGCGCCCGCGTCCCCGTCGCCATCCTTGTTCCGTCCCTGCTCCCGTCCGCGCTCTCCACCCCGGACC